TATACGAAAACAAAATATGAATTCTCAGGACAAAGACTGCTGCAGCACCACACTATACAAATGTTACATGTAAAAGCTGTCATTCACAATTTAATCTAGTAAAGTTAATACCAAATTGGGCTTTAAGTAAAGAAAGCATTGGTGCTAATTACTCAATATGTCTATGCTGTGAAAGAAATGTCGTGGAGTAAAATAGTCTGATATTTGTCTTTGAAATATAAACAGGAATATCTCAAATAAAGTGCGTGTTCCTCAGCAGTGAAATACTTGTAATGAGTTACTTTTCACCACTACTCCAAGGATGAGCTTGTTTGTTTTGCTTTTACGTTTTCTCCACAGGAACGTTTATAAGGATTACCGTCAGCTGGAGCTGGCCTGTGAGAGTCAGGAGGACATTGATGCTTGGAAGGCCTCGTTCCTTCGAGCCGGAGTTTATCCTGAACGTGTCACGGTAAAGATTAATTCTATTTAGAACAGTATAGTAACGTGTGTTCTCCAAACTACATGCACAGTAAAACACATCCTTAACTTTGTCAAAACCACATAGACAAACGGTAATTTTATATGTTGACGTGAGTCTATTTTAATGTTGTCATGTCTGATGTGTTTCTGTATTTGTCCTTTTCGATGTCTTTTATCTTCCATCACTGTTTGACCATGTAGGACAAGGAAGGAAAGGTAAGTTTGTGTCTTTTCATCATCACGGTGTCTTTTCCAGAACATTTAATTTGAAAGAACTGGACAAAATCACATTAATACAAAGTATTTTGTTATATATTTAATCACATTAGCACTGAACAGTTTGTAAAAGGTTGTCAAGAAATCAAGGAAGTTAAATACGAACAATGTGATTTGTATTAAATGCTGCATCACACGTATCCTCTTCTCCTCTTCAATATTCTCCGACTGTGTCTCTGCAGAGCGACGGCGGCGAAGACAGCAGCACTGACAACTTCATGCACAGCATGGATCCTCAGCTGGAGCGGCAGGTGGAGACCATTCGTAACCTGGTCGACTCCTACATGGCCATCGTCAACAAGACCGTCCGCGACCTGATGCCCAAGACCATCATGCACCTCATGATTAACAATGTCAGTCACTGGTGTGGTGGTCAGAAGTGTTGCTGTTGTATTCAGCTGTCGTTTGTTCCTTGGATCACAGAATGTTTCTCTTCTCTTCTTTCTGTCCGTCCAGTCGAAGGAGTTCATCAACGCAGAGCTGCTGGCCCAGCTGTACTCGTGCGGCGACCAGAACACGCTGATGGAGGAGTCTCAGGAACAGGCCCAGCACCGTGACGAGATGCTGCGGATGTACCACGCCCTGCGAGAGGCGCTCAGCATCATCGGCGACATCAGCACGTCAACTGTAACCACCGCCATGCCGCCGCCCGTGGATGATTCCTGGCTGCAGGTGCAGCGGGCCAACTCCGGAGGAAGGTAAGACATAAACACATCTGTCGGCTAATTATCCTTGTCAGATAAACCGGGATCTTTATTGACTGTAATGAGTTCTGTGAATATGAAATGTAGTTTCTTCAATGATTATTCGACTATTCTGTGATTATTATCTGACTGAATTGTTGCTTCACCTGATGTGTTTCACCAGAGTTTCCTCTCTTCTCCTCCAGGTCTCCGGCCACCAGTCCAACACCAAACCGCAGAGCTCCGCCGGGCCCCCCCGCCCGCCCCGGCTCTCGTGGGCCTCCACCCGGGCCTCCTCCTGCCGGGGGACCCCCTGTCCCGTCCCGGCCCGGAGCTTCTCCGGACCCCTACAGTGGGCCGCCACCTTCTGTGCCCTCCAGGCCTAACCGTGCACCCCCAAGTGTGCCCAGGTGAGTGGAAGCATAAGAAGTATTTTAAACCCTTCTTCACACCAATGTAGAGAACGATTTTTTTTTTTTTATGAGGACTTTAACATCCATCAAATAGCTTTAATTCTGAGGAGCTATCCAACCTGAAGTGTGGATGCTCTCTGTTACTAAGGGGGATGTGAAGACACCTGAAGCCACATGAAGGAGGTAAATGAAAGTGAAGAGCTGTGGTTGAGATAGAGGATGATAGATGGATAGAGATCCCTAAATAGAAGGATAGACATGTCGTGATTCTTTTTCTCTTGGTTTCACCTTTACTTGATAACTCTCTGCCGCCACTCTTAACTTTCAACACGCTGTCAAACATCATCAGTGACAACTCCTCTGATCATCACTAACACGCACCTCACCTCTGTTCTCGTCTAGATTATTATTTTGAAGCTTCAAAGCTGCAATTAGGGTGAAGGAAAAAGTTTGGGTTTTCTTTCTCTTCTCCATGAACTGTATCTGTCGTTGCACCTGTCAAGTTTTCCTTGTGCTCGACTGTGTCTGTGAGCTAACTAATGTTTTTGAATGTTCATGGTCAGAGTAGCAGCTTGCCTCGTTTACTGCAGGAGACGCTAACGTTGCAGAGTGAAGCTCTCACTGACACAAATTCCACCTCTGAATCTGATCCTCCAAACTTTTCCATCTAAATCACTTCGCCGTGTTCTGGTGCGTCGGAAGCGAGAGCTGAGCTCATGTCACATTGGTCATTTCCTGCACTGTAACCGTTTGCACTCCTTCTCTCTTCTCTTCATCCCTCTCTCCCTCACCACACCTCTGTCTCCACACATGACTATGGTTCCTTCTACAGAATCACTATCACTGACCAGTGAGGGATGACGTTTCTGGTACGTTGGGTACTGTCCGCCATTATCATCACCGCCATCACTTTCCTTCTCTCTCATCCTTTCATGCCTTCACTGCATGCCATCTCCTCTCTCTCACTTTTCGTTTCTCTTCTCAGAGCGCTGCTTGGCAAACACACGCCCAGGGTGTGTGTTTGAGTTTGCATCAGTGTGTGAGCTGATTTTGGTCGTCAGCCTTTTTTTTGTTTTTGCTGTTGATGCTAACTTGTTTCTGAAAGGTGGCATCAGTGTGTCGGGAGAAAGAGGAAGTTTCTTATTTGCAGCAGCAGGGGGTTGAACAGGATTCAAGTCAAAAGTTCAAAACTTAAAGATTGTTGTTGGTTTTGTGTGCGTGTTGAATGTGATGTTAAATTTGCCACAACATCCCACTCATCCCTAACTTTGTGCAGTGAGGCCTTGATGGAACATAGACATATATACACATATATACATAGATACAGCCTGACCTGCTGTGTGAACTGAGCCTGATATCTCATGTAGTGATATGTGTTATTTCATGATGTAGGTGGTCGTCTGTGTGCATAAGTGGAGATGTTGTATCATTGTGTATGTGCATGAATTTTAACAATGGGGGGAATCCAGAATCAATTTTTTCACACGTTGACAAACACTAATCCAACTTGTTCCCTCTGTATCTCTCCCTGTGTGTGTGTGTGTGTGTGTGGCAGTCGGAGACCCCCGCCTTCTCCAACCCACTAGCCCTCCGAGCTCCTCCCTCCCCGCTCTGCCCGTCCCTCCTCTGGATTGAGAGTCCACGGACAACAGCGCCACCTTCTTGTCGTTTTTCTGCCTCACTTGACCTCGGCCGGCTCCCTTCTCCTGCATCTACTCCTCCCTTACAACAAGCTGTCTCTCTCTCTCTTTCTCTCTCTCTCTTTCTCTCTCTCTCTTTCTCTCCCCCTCCTCCCTCTGTTCCACACAGAGATGCAGAATACTTGAAAACACAGCTGCATGACCGACACCCCAACTCCCTCAGTGTAGAGAATATGAAATATCTGATAAGAAAAAAGTGTGTGCCCATATGCATGCACACCTGCTT